ATAATTATATAATTAAATATGAATTTTATTTTTTTTCCAAATTATAAAAAAAATATTTTTATAAAAAAATAAAATATTTTTTCCGATAAAATTTGATCAATATAATATGAAAATGTTAAATCTAAATGCTGTGAATAATGTACAATATATTAAAATTTCACTTTGTTCTCATTTCTAAAAATTGAGAGTGAAACAGAAGAATTGTAATTATACTCTCTTATTACTTACTTAATTTAATATTATTATTTGATCTACTAGAAGTAGATATTTCAAGAAGTATGTATATTTCAACGTACATCCTACAAATTCAATATCTTGTTTAGAAACTCGATTTCAGTAAAACTGAAAGTTATTACTCATAAACACAGTATGATATTATTATAAAAATATATATAATATATATATATATAATTTATAGCTTCTTTATTATAGTATATGTAAATGATGTTCCACCTAGCCGTGGAATGTCTCCACATTTTTGCTTTCTTTCAATATATCATAAGTCATACTATAAATTAGTCTTTGCAACTTTGTAACAAAAATTGGAAACTGTTCACAGGCATGTATAACAAAAACGGTGGTCAAACAACAAGCATCTGTAGTGCCGGAATATTAAAAATCCAAGCATTGCATCAATTACATAATTTTTAAAGATATGGTACGTGAATCGAAATCCACAATAAAAAAGAAATGCCTGAGACTCCACGATCATGTTATCAATCATTTTTTGTTAAGAGGCATCACAGTGATATAGAAGAATCTATTAGCATATATGAAATCGACATAATCGATATAAATTTAAACTTATGTAAGTATTCATTTCAAATTGTTGATACTTGACAATGAATTGGACAGATGTATTTACAATAAGATTAAATTAATTTTATCATTTTAAATAAAAAAAATAATATACTTTCAAATTTACTCGACTGTAATTAATAATATGCAATATTTATTTTGAATATATATTTGATACATATTTTTTTATGTATTCAATACATGTGCAATTTATAACATTGTTGTTTGACGTAATATATTTAAATATCCAAAAACAGTTTTTATTATCTGAAAATAAAAATATATTCGCATAAATATTTTCGAAATATTTGGGAGATCAATGATATATTTCTTTAAAAATTGAAAGAAATAAACGCACATTACCAAACGTGATTACCGACATATCAATTATCTTTCCGGCAGTCATTTTGTATTCTACGCTAGATCGTGTAATAATCATTATTAAATTAAGAATATCTTTCTTAGGTAATCGATACCAGTTTGTCATATAAACCATGTTACCAATTTCCTTACACCTTTCAGTTAGGACTTCACCGATATAACATATTAAAAATGTGTTTAAAGTTATATTTATTACCGCAAAAATATATGTACCGAGAATCCTAATATTATGTTCAGACCATTCCTAATAAAAAAATGAATATTTTCAATTAGATTAATCACCTGTTATTCATGATATTATTAATTTCATGATTTTTTTATTGTTTGACTTTGTGAGATTTATAAAAAATTACAACAATTATATTAGAATTAGGTTCATTTGTTTAATTGCAATTATGTCAAATGTTCTTTATCCTTAGAAAAAGATTAAATTTAATTCTAATCGATAATAATGTATTTTAAAGTTGTAAAAATATTAGAGATGAATCTTGTTTCATGTCAAATCGAATAGAGAATTGTCCTATTAAAAGTGATAGATTTGACATAGAAATTTATATTTTAAATCAATATCTTTAAAATATATATGTTAATATTTTTATTTATTTTTATTTATTAAATAATAATAATGAAATTTATATCAATATGTATTTAAATAAGTTATTTTTAACATAAACAAAACTATTTATTGAACTTGAAAACGAAGTATTTAACAAATATATTTTAATTTGAAAAATGGCGTACCGCAAGAATGCAATAACTAAACAAGCATATACTCAATATATTCTTGAACATTTCCATGAAGCATATTGGGCACAATAGATGTTCAGCACGTTCTAGGAAACTTCACAATTAATACGTAATTAGAGATATTCTCTAAAGAAAGATAGAAATAGATATATAGACAGAAAGAGACAGAAAAAAACAGAAGGAAACTACGTAAAAAGTGTTACCTTAGAATTCTCATATGATGTTCGATGATCACACTTATTTCATCAATGCGTACATTCTTATTTTCTTCTTGTGACCGATTTATAAATTCTTCGATCCATGTAATCATTATAGTTAATTGACCAGAAGCGTGGCATGCAAATACTGTAGCAAAACTGAAAGCGCTAACAACGGTAGCACTCGTAATGTATGCAGCCAGAAATTGAAAGCCAAGTACGATATCATGCCCTGGATTAGTATCAACCGGAATTTTATAGGTTGGAGAAGGTAAAACGTATACTTCCATGCTTTCGTTGCCGACTTTTATTGTTCGTTTGAAAACTCCCAATACAGTGCAGAAACAAATAGCACTAACTTGCATGAAGCCTGCGATGCAACAGGAAATAATGCGACCAATTTTTGCATTTTTAAGCATTATTTGTCGATCCGTCATCCTCGTGATCGCCTTCCAATCAGTTTCCATATGCTCTATACAATAAAGTATATCATTTTTACGAAGTAACAACACGGCGTAATTGAGCCCTCCGCCAAAAATATAGCTTATAGGAGCCAGAGATTTTAATTTTGAGATGATATCTTCTTTCACAAGGGCGAAATGTAATAAGCCTGATATTGTGTCAAATATCGCGATAATCCAACAGAGAAGAATTAGAATCCTTGTTATTATTTTTTCGAATTTCGAAGTGGAGGATGGAAGTGGCCATACGCCTATTGTTTTCGAGAACCATTTGTTTAATTGTATACTATATTCGTTCAGACTACCAAACTTCTTTTGAATCACGGAAATGTCGTCCGTCATCGTGTTTCTTGTACGAAGTCGGAGGAATAACTGAATGGTATATACACATTGTTAGATGATGCGCGTCGATCGATACATATTCTGTTACCATAACTATTGACAACGGTTAATCCATGTGTTTACATTTCACCTCATTGACGATACACAACGTGAAGATTATAGAGATTAAGTTAGTTATCTTAGCGGAACGATAAAATTTATAAATAAAATGCATTTTATAAATAAAGTATGATTTTGAAATATTTCTATTATTTAATGTGAATCGAAAAATTAATAAGTGGAAGATTAATATATGTGAATTTTTTAATATTATTGCAGTGATGTTTAAATAATATAGTGTAACATATTGAAGATAATGATTATTTATTCTTTCGAAATAATTTTCAATATAGAAAAAAATCAATCCTATTTTTTCTCTTTTTATTTGATTTTAAATGATTTTGAAACTTATTGAATATATTTTTCAAATTGTTTATTCTGAAGTTTATTTTAGAATATAATTTTTGAAATTGAATTTTTGGTGTAAAAAAAAAAAATCAATTTTAATAATGTCTTAAAATAATAATTATTTTGAATTTTGATAAATTTTTTGTTACCGCATCATGAAATATTTATGTAGTAAGAGTACGAAGTAAACTTAAATATGCTAGAGATGATTTTAATACCTGTAACAGAGAATAATAAAATAAAATATAATTTATATAATTTGATATGAAAAATGAATTTATTACTTACGCTACAAAAACTACTCAAAGATAATTCCACGAGTTTGCCAGCTGTTAATTTTGTAGAAGAATTTGAAGCTGCAGATATCAATATCAAACTGAGTGCTTTCTTTCCTGGTAAACGATGCCAATCAATCATATAAGCTGACAAACCAATATTTCTACACTATGATACATAATTAAATGTGAATTCTATTTTTTATTTCAGATAATAAAAAAGAATAATTTTGTAAAAAAAACTACCTCTTCCGATAAAATTTCACCAATATAACATAATATGAAAATATTGAATATTAAAGATATGAGCAATATACAATAAGTTAAGGTCCCTATAGTTTCACTTTGTTCCCATTCCTAAAAATTCAGAATGAAAAATACCAATTATAATTTTGCTTTCTTATCACATTTATTTTGATGTTATATTTTTATTACCTTAAGTAAAAAATATCCCAAGAAACATATATTTAGCGTACATCCTATAAATTCAACGAAACATATTTCGTTTAGAAGTTTTTCGATTTGGGATATAAAACTGAAAATTGTTATCTATAAACACAATACAATACTTCTATACAAATATACATAATTTACACATTCTTTACCCTAATATATATAAATGATGTTCCACAATATTGCCTAATCGTTGTTCATGCACTATGTCCTCCATGTCTTTGTCTCCTTTTAGTCCATCAATCAATCTTCGCAATTTTGTTACAAGAATTTGAAATTGTCCACAGGCATGCATAACAAAAACGGCGGCCAAACTGCAAGCACCTACAGTGACGGAATATATCACAAAACCAGCTAAACATTGCATCAATTGCACGATTTCAAAGGACGGACTGGTGCGTGGATCGAGAAGGCCACGATAGATTGGAAATGCTTGAGATCTCACAATCTCGTTATCGATCATCTCTGTTCGTTTTGTGCAAAGAGGCATCACAATAGTATAGAAAAATCCACCAGAATACATGAAACCAGCGCAGAAAATCGCCAGAGATCGACCAATTCTCGCGTTTTCCATCATGATTTTTCTATCTTTCAAACAGTGTTGCGAAGAAACACGAGACCAGTCGATTCGAATGTCCTCGATACATTTACCGATGTACGATCCACGCGAGAAAAGAATATAATATTTGATTGCTGCCATTATACAGAAACTAAACGGACCGATCATTTTAATCTTCATATCGAGATCTCCTGTTTTGTCAAGGAGAGTGCATAGGGTGCAGGGTACGAGGAGGAAACCTATCAGAAAAATGCTGATTAAAGTAAGAATCACAGAATGAATTTTCTCTGTGGTAGTGACGCACAATGAGAGAGGCCAGATACCGATTGCTTTCAGCAACCAACGATTTATCTGAACACTGTATATCCAGTCTTTGTTGTATGAGACGGATGACGAATCCGTAAGTACGAACATAATGGTAATTGACAAGGCGAAAGTGCACGGTTAACTGAAGGGAAAGGTAACGTACAAAGGCGATAGTCATCGATTAGTGAACCTTTCGATAATGCGCATGTGCTAATTTCAATACTTTCGACTAACGATAAGTCGATTCATACGAGTTGCCAGTGCGGTTGAACTCTCTGTCGACCACCAGTTGATTCGATTCATAAGTACTTATATCAAATAATGGAAAGATACATAGATGTGTTATATATAGTGTGAAAATATTAAAGAGGTTAGTTTTTAGATACGTTTTATATTGTGAATCGATATTTTTGTTTTCTCGATTTTTGTTTCGATTACAGTAGTTTTTAAAAGATAATAGTGAGTAATTTTTTTATAAATTCATTTTAGATATTTTTTGTGATGAACTTTCAAACAATAATAATTACATGGAACAATGATTATTAAATTGGATTTCTTCTTAGGATGGTAAAATTTATAAAAAAGAATATTTTAAATATTTGAAATACGATTTGAAAACACATGTTGGACAAACTGGACAATACCAATCAAGAAGTTAATAAATCAAGGTACAAAATTTATATTTTTCTTTTAATAATTTGTTTGATTTTTTAATATTGCACTCTATAGTATTGAAGTTTATGAATATTGAATATCAAAATTGAAATATCACGATTAAAAAAATTAATATTTATTTTTTTAATTTGTAATAATCTTCAATAATATAATATTGTTATTAGAAAAATTCGAAATTAATATATAAAAATGATGAGAAATATTTTTATATTTTTAATATTATTTATATTATTATTATTATTTATATTATTTATTAATATATTAATATTATTTATATTATTATATTAATATTTTTTATATTTTTAATACAAGTTTATGTATTCATATTTTAAGAATGTATTCTATTAAGTCATTTGACGTAATAAATTCAAATAAGCAAAAGCAGTTTTTATCACCTGGAATAATAGTACATTTTATAACAATTAATAGATACATGTAAATATGATTAAGCATATGACTCACATTACTAAAGGTATATATGGACATATGAACTAGCTTATAAGCAGTGATTTTAACCACCATGCTGGATCTTAAAATGATCTGTATTAAATTCAATATATCTTTTCCAGGTAAGTAATACCAATTAGTCATATAAACCGCTTCACCAATCATTTTACACTATTGGAAATTTTTATGATAAATGTCAGTTACGCTTTGAATTTATTTATTTATCAAATCGCATGTCTGTTACCTGTTCAGTTAGTATATCACCGATATAACATATTATAAAAATATTGAAAATCATAGAAAGAAGTATTACTGAAAATACGATCAGATTCTGAATATCATGACCAGTCCATGCCTAAAAAAGAAATAAAAAATTTTAATTGGATTATTCATTTGTATTAAAATTAATATTAAAGTTAAAATGTATACTTCAATTTAAATATTTTAGAATATCTGTTATATTTGCATAAAAATAAGAAAGATTAAATAATAGATAAAATTAAATAATTTAATATAAGTTCTTGAAATTATTCGCTAACGTGACATTATTTATTGACAATGCGCAATTTCATTGATTATTATTAGAATAATTTTGTAGATGTTTACAAACATCTACAAAGTTATAGAAAAAAAAACAAACAATGAAAAAAACATATTAGTCATTAAAAGATTTAATAAATTTCTTATTTAACGTTCTAAGATTTTCTAAATCTGTTAAAAACATACCGTAAGAATATAATATCCAAGCATACATATGTTTACAGTACATTTGAACAATTCCATAAAACATATTCCACTCATTACATTTTCGATACCTGCTATAAAACTGTTACAATCAATATATATTTAAAATCACTTTCAGAAAATAATATAACAAATAGTTAACAAGTTAAGTTTTTCACCTCAAAATCCTCAAATGATGTCGAATGATCTCGCCAATGTCATTCAATACAACATTTTTATCTTGAACGTTTGAGTGATCCACAAATTGACGGATCCACGCCATCAAAAGATTTACTTGGCCACAAGCATGAGTTGTGAACACGGCTGCGATACTAACAGCT